TTTGCATAAATTCTTAGGCCAAACATTCGTTTTAGGGACCTTTACACAACCTCAAGCATACACAAGAGGACTCAATATTTTGCATTATGTTTCGGAAGTTTTAAAGTGGAACTCAGATATTTGATGCTTTTTCACAAAAGAATTAACCATTCGATAGAAAATGTTGTCAATATTTTTTATTCAAAATTTTCTGAGAAGTTGAACCTAATGCCAAATTGGAGACTAATCAAGGTTGAGAATAGCTATGAAACCTTAACCTGGAAACCCTAATTTTGGCATATTTGTTTCAGAATTTAGATAAACCGACAAACTCAACCGATATAACGATTTGTTAAATGTTCATTATGAATCCACAATGACCCACATTTTAAGTGTCCTATGCGTGATAAAATAGTTACAATGTAGGATAAGTTGATTAAAATTTAATAAAGGAAATGAGTTAGATCCATAGTTCCTTTTGATGATCTGCATCCGTCAGTCAGTCCGTCTGTCCATGTATTTTTGTAAACAAAGTACAGTTCGCATTTATTGCCCTATACAGATGAAATTTTGCACAAACCATTTGTTTGGCCCAGGACGAACCCTATTGAAATTGGAGATAATCGGTCAAATTTAGATATAGCTCCCATATATATCTTCATCCGATTTGCTTTTTATTGTGCACCAAACGTGTACTATCAGCCCGAGTAGTATGGAATTTTGCATATACAACCAGATTAGACCTGAAAATAAGTATGCCAAATTTGATCGAAATCGGTTCAGATATAGCTATAGCTCCCATATATATTGTTCATCCGATTTGTTATTTTTGTCCTCCGCAGCCGTAGAATGCACTCTGTAACAACAATATTTGGCGAAATATATCAAATACAGCTCAGAAATACATTTGCTAAATTTTAACGAGATCGGTTCAGATTTGGATATATAACTTCCAATATATAACTTCGTCCGATTTACTTTTTATTGTGCACCAAACGTCTAATATTTGTCCAAATGGATAGAATTTGGCACTTACGACCGAATTGAGTCTAGAAGCTAGTATGTCAAATTTGGTGAAGATCGGTTCAGACATAGGTACAGCTCCAATATATACTGTTCATCCGATTTGTTATATTTGTTACCCACAGCCGTAATATGCACTCCGTAATAACGATATTCAGGGAAATATATCAAATACAGCTCAGAAATATCTCTGCCAAATTCTATCGAGGTCGGTTAAGATTTAGATATAGCTCCCATATATATCTTTATCCGATTTCAAATTAATTGTGCCCCAAATGGGCAATACAAATCCGAATTTAAAAGACACGAATGCTTCTGCATATTTAACCTTTGAACTTTAAATTATAATTATAATCATAGCGTGTATGATTGAATTCTTCCATAAAATTTTAATTGTTATGCGAAGCTCTACTTAATTAGCAAAGTGGTGTAGGTTATCATAAAGTCGGCCCCTCCCGACTTTAAGATTTTCTTTACTGGTTTTTAATTTAAGATAAACAAGTAAAAAGCCGTAAGTTCGGCCGGGTCGAATTTTGAATACCCTCTACCATTTGGAACGAATTTAGAAATTTTCAAAAAATAAAATCCTTAAAAAATTCTGTTAAAATTTTAAAAATACCGAATATAGCCGTTATATTGGGGTCTATACGACGTGGACCTACATAGGCTTTGTTTGTCATAAGCCATTACCATATTCAAATTCGAAACTTGAAATAAACGGTGAATAATGTAGCAAAAATAATCAAAACATCGTATATAGGGAGGTACCTTTATATGGGAGCTGTGCGAAGACCTGGACCAGCATGCAAAATTTGCAATGAGCATCGCATGATAATTGCGACCTGTATATAATGCCCTCAACACATAGTGTTGCAGGGTGTGGAAAAACTTTACAAAATGTTCAATTCAAAATTGTAAGCCAAATTGAAAAAATCGCATGCGATAAAATATGACGAAAATTAAAAAGAAAAAAAATTAACAAAAATATTCAAATATTTTATTGGCATATTTTTCCGCGATTTTCTTAGATTTTATAATTTTCTGGCTAGAAACCATTCCGAATTGATGAGAATTGTGAAAATCGGCCCAGAGGATATAGCAGAATAAATAAGATCTCGTCGATTGGTTTATAATTGTGGCCTGTAGAGTAAAAGCAAAATCCGGAAATTTTCTGTTTTTTGATCCATTTAAACCCCTAAATATTTTGCGATCATCTCCAAAAAAAAAAAAAAAAAAAAAACAATTCTGACTTAACCCCACCTCTATGCAAAATTTCGTGGAGATTTGGCCATAATTGCGACCTGTGGCGTGATTACAAATTAACATGGACAGAAGGAACGGGCGGACATACATAGCTTAATCGACACTTCCAATTTTTGGCCACTTTTTCGAGCACTGCTGGCCGCATGTCACGAATAACACGAACAATGCTGGCCTCCAAGGCGTCAATTGTTGTTGGTTTATCAGCATAAACCAGTGACTTCACGTAGCCCCACATAAAATAATCGAGAGGTGTCAAATCGCACGACCTTGGAGGCCAATTGACAGGTCCACTTCTCGAAATCAACTTATCGCCAAATTTTGTTTTCAATAAGTCGATGGTTGCGTTCGCCGTTTGGCAAGTAGCGCCATCCTGTTGAAACCACATCTCCTCCGGATCAATGTCATCCATATTTTTAAACAAAAAATCATCGGTCGTGGTGCGGTAACGATCTCCATTGACCGTAACGCGAGCTTCGGCCTCATTTTTGAAGAAATAATGCCGATGATGCCACCAGCGTGAAAACCGCAACATGTGGTGCATTTTTCTGGATATAATGGAGTCTGTAGGGTCTCTTGGGCATTGGTCTCACTCCATATGCGGCAATTTTGCTTATTAAAAACTCGATAAGCCAAAAATGCGCATCATCGCTGAACACAATTTTGCGATAAAACAACGGGTCATTTGCCAACTGCTCTAAAACCCAATCGGCGAAAGAATATAGTGGTCTCTGATGTTGATTTGTCAGAGTATACTGAAACAAATAAAAAATCATCAAAATTTAAATTTAATTTTTGTGTGTTACTTTTTACAATTTAAAGTTCTATCTACCTTAAGAAAACACCCTTAATACCCCAACACATAGTGTTGTAGGGTATAATTATGGAGTCTCTATTGCCATAAAATACCTCAAGTTTTCATTCGAGTGTTTCCACATTTCCTTGATAGGTTTTAGGTCAGTGGCATTCCCTGCATACTCTGAACATACTAAACGTTAATCTCCGGGCATGTGCTTCATATACAAGAAACGCTTGATTTCTTGACGGAATTGGGAGTAAGTTCAAAATGATGGTTTTCGAAAAAACAAAAACCAGTCTATGACATCTACAATCATTAATGTATTGCTCTCTTTACCACTTGACATTACTCATCCCAGAAAAATACTCGATTGCAAAAATTCTATTCAGTTTGCTGTGATCAGCACCTGTCCACATGCCATGGATGGATGAGTAATTCCAAAAATATTCAAGTCACCCGCAACACAGAACAGAATCCAAAATAAGTAATAAAACGAATGGAATTTGTTTTGTTTTTTTTTTATGTGATAGTTATGTATGGGGAGTTTGATTTTTAATATTATTGTTATTATTATTATTAGTTTAAACTATTTCTATTACATTGTATGTTTTTTTGATTTCGAATAGACAGAGATTAATTGATTACCGGACATGCATGTTTTTTTAAGGAGTTTGTGTTGTTGGGGAAGAAAAAATTTAAAAGAATGGTTGTTTTAGTTCTTATGATTTCTTTATTTTTATTTAATTGGTAAAAATAAGAAATACAAAGTTATTAATAAATAAACACAAAAAAAAAAAACAGAAACTTATTTGTTTAAGTCAGGTTATAAAAAATAAAATCGTTAATGGGGGGAGATGCACAGTGAAAAAAAAATAAATATAAAATAAAAAGCTACGACATAAATAACTAAAGGCAAATGCAATAAATAAAAGAGAACTTAAAAAATAGCTTATATGCAATTAAATTAACATCGATCGATTAACATTAATCAGCTCATATTACAATTTACAGAATATAAATTAAAATATCTAATAATACCTATAAATTAAGTAAATTTATTTTTATGAATATCAGAGGGTAATAAATTATTGTTGAGTAAAAATAAAAGTATGTATGTATAACGATGACAATGAAAAAAAAAAAAACAAGCGAAAATTTGAAAAATGAACGTGATGATGATCACGCAGGTATGTAGCAGGGCTAAAAAGTGATATTGAAATGTTTAAACAGCATATTTTGTTAAGCATTTAAAAACTTGTATATTTTTCGGAACATCATTTTTCTGATCTCCTTGAAGATTTGCTGCTGCTTTTTCAACTATCTTTCAAAATTTTGTTATCAATGTGGTGGATATGAGTTTTTTCCAATGCATTATCAATGTGGTGGGCATGATTTTTTCTTCTATGATATTTGGATACAATTGCATAAAATCAAGTCTCATATACTTAGGTATAGTACTAATAAGAAAAAATCCTTACAAGTTAAGGATATCAGATGTGGGCATAACAATACGAATAAATAAAAACCGAAAAAAGTGTGAGAGAATTGTTTTGTTTCAAATGAATTTGAGAGCCCCTCGCCAGTAAAGGAACTTAAAATCAGTTCTTGTCAATTTTTTTTCAATTAAAATCTTCCAAAATTCTGGAGTATATTTTAATGATTTTAAATTTCGACTTAACGACATCTATATTTCATAAATTTACTATGTGGCTCATAACTATGTCCTGCAAGTAGCATGTACAAATTCCAATTGGATGAATTCCTATTGGAAATTCAAAATTTTGTCATACATTTAAGAACATTACATTTGTTTTTTAACAAATAAAAATTTAAAATCATTGGCAAAAACATTTTAAGTCCTTTTTCGTGAAAACCAAAAACAATGTAACAAACAAAAATTAAGTACAATAAATTTAAGTATGTGTGTGTGAGTGTGTTTCTGGCTACGGTCATCAGATAATTTTAATTGAACATCAAACATACTTAAGACTAATGGGGGTGTGTGAGTGTGTAGTTTTGTTTTTGTAACTATTTAATTTATGTTTATGTATGTATGTATTTATCCTTCTACAGGCATGGCATTTTCACCACACAAATATGTGTGTTTGTGTGTTTTTTTTTCTCTTGGACAAATATATAAATGTTCAACATTTCTACTTTGGCCACCGTTTTTACTCATCATCGCCACTGCTAAAACCGTTGCTATCTTTGTTACAGAATTGTTCCAGGAAATCTTTAACTCTTTCCACATCCTCAATGAATTCCTTGATAATGAGAAAGTCACGTAATCTCCGCGCATGCGTGGTATTGAATTCGACAACATTATCCTCCAAGTTGGGCTTGTCAATGGCCAAAGCTTTCAAAACACCTTCCGTCTCCTGCATATTACGTGTGATTTCGGTTTTCAGATGTTGGAAAGCCTCCAATATAACACCCACGCGAATCCCTTCGCCATGTTCAATGCTGACCTTGCTATCGTTGGTGTCCCGATCAACCAACTCGGCCAGTTGTTGGAAATTGTGTAGATTCAAATAGAAGTCATGCATTTTCTGATGGAGCTGCAATGAGAAAATGGCAGGGGAAGATGGGGGTTAATAAATTGTTTTTTTTTTGCCATTTCTTATATTTTTATTGTTTGTATAAAAATTCAAAAAAATGTATTACACTTTTTGAAATTAGTCGCAATTTCAAAATTGACAAATGTAAGGGAAATTTTAGAAATGTTGAGGACAAACATATTTTTTTAATTCCATTCCAAATGGTCCTAGTAAGTTTCGCTTCACCGAATTTTTCACACGCCACGTTCAACGTTTGGGTTTTTCTTTTAATTTTTTGAATGAGTGTGTTTCTCATTCACTTGGGAATGCTCAAATGCAATCAATGCAACAAGTTGTTTTATTTATTTAATAATAACACAACTTGTTGCATTTGCTTTAATAGTAACTCTGGCATTACAATTCATACAGGTAGACCCCTTTACAAGCAAAATTTTCTAACTTAGGCCAACTTCTCTTCATTGTACCCTGGGTGATAATGAATGAAGTTAAGCCAATGGGGGTATACACCAGACTTAGGCAATTTTTTTGTTTTTTTTTTTTTTTTTTTAATTTTATCTTCAGTTTTCTGTTTTCATTTTCTCAAAACCGATCAAGAAATGTACCCTGGGTGATATGAATTTAAGCCAATGGAAGCATACATCAGACAATATTTTTTTTGTTTTTTGTTTTTTTTTAATTGTATCTTCAGTTTTCTCTTTTTATTTTCTCAAAACCGATTTAGAATTCAAAATTTGGCAATAATTTGAAGATTTCATATCCCGAGTAATTAATGTTTTTTTTTTTCTAAGTTTATACCTAAGAATTTTCTGAGTAAGTTTTTTTTAATGCTCACCTCATTGTCAAGCGTCACTTGCTGGCGTCTGGGGTTTCGAATTTCCAAATTGAGTAATCTCCATGTATCGTTCATTTCATCCAATGTTTTGTTTTCACGCGTTTGCAACTAAAAATAAAACAAAGATATAAAACAAATTAATTTTTATTTGAAAAAATATCAAAAAAAAAAAAAAATAAATAACTTCAAATAAATCTATTGAAGACGAAAAAAAAGGCTAAGCTCCGCCATTAAGAAGGAACTTGAAAAATGTAAAAAAAAGTTGAAAAGCAGGCCTGGCCGAACTTTTAATACCATCTACCATTTTGAATGAACTTGAACAAGTTCCAGAAAAAATCGGTCAAAATAAACCTCTCAAATGAAATCCTTATATGCGGGCTATACGAATATGAGGCTGTAGTGCCGATTCCGAACTTCAACTGGCGAAATTTGAAACAATTCCGGCGAGTAATGGCCCTAAAATCATCAAAATACCGAATATCGAGGGTTATGCGAAGACGTGGATGGAGCTATACGAAGACCTGGACCTGCAGAGGAAATTCTCTGCCACAGGCTCAGTACCCATTAGAAACTCTAAGTAACAACAAAAAATAACAAAATTCAGGTAAGTAATATACCTAAAATCAATACCGAATACGGAGAGATACCGTTACATGGAGGCTATACGAAGACGTAGACCTTCTGAGAGCAATTTTTTGCTTCAAGACGCAGTACCACTTATAACCTATCAAATACACAAATTAAAGAATTTCAGTGAATACTTTCGTTAAGTCATCAAAAATACCGAATTGGGAGGTACGGTTATTTGGGGGGCTATACGAAGACCTGGACCTGCAGAGAAGATTTTCTGCCAAAGGTCGCATTGTTCAATTAGGAATTTTAAATTCCAAATTTTGAAAATGTCCGGGGGAAAAGTTTGACGCAATTCTTTAAAAATAAACCGAAATATCTGGAGGTACCATTATATGGGGACTGAAGGAAAACTCAGATCTATACTGATATTTCTAGGCAAGGGTGTTTCTAACATAATGGGAACATGTTACTGGCCAATTTGTAGAAAATCCGAGTTAAAATTTTGACTAAAACATCCACACAAAAAAAAAAAAAAAAACTTAAATCTGTCGGCACAGGTTATATTGGGGGATGGGGGTTGGTTTGGGTTATAACAAAAATGTATAGCCAATTTTCAATTAGTCCTGTAGACCTAACATACATTGGAGTTAATTAATCTACATCAGTTTGTTCGGAAGTTAGACTGATTTTCACAGACGGAACGAACATCGCTGAATCGACGTAGGCCAGAATATATTTATACTCTCTGGGCTCTCTATATTTCGAGGTGTTTACAAACGGAATGACACAACTTAATACAGCCTTCATCCTTTGTTTAATAATACACATGAAATAAATATTTAAATTAATTAATTTTATACATTAACTTACATATTTGGAACACACGGGCCTTTATGAACTGCAACGTTGCATCCATTTGCAAATACAAAATGTGGAAGGTGTCCATCATTCTACAATTACTCATTTTGTATGGGGCCGATCGGCTGGCAATGGGGGCAGCACGTTGATGCAAGTGATGATGTTGCAACTGATGACGATGGACTTTTCTCAGTATGGGCGCTAAATACGATGAGGGTCTTTGGACTTGTTGGAATGTTGTGACGAATAACGATGTTGGGTTTTGTGATGCGTTGCTGCTGTTGTTGCTGGTGATGATACTGATGGATTTCGGTAATACTTGTTGCTGATGCTGTTGATGTTGCCGCTGTTCTGTAGCAAATTTGGATGATAGACGCTCACGATAGACGTTCGAGTGTAAAATTAGCCGCTGAGCCAGATGTGGTTTACGACGAACGGGTATGGCTTGTGTGGTTGGTAGTATAGCGATGATATGGCACAATAAATAAATAATAGGATAAGTAGTAATTCTGCAAAGAGAGAGGGAGAGGGGGAGAGAGAGGGTGTTTAAAAAATAAATACGAAATTTTTCAAAAAAAAATATTTATTTTTTTTATGAGTAAATTAAATATTATGAATATGTGTTTCATATAATTTTTTTTTGGATTTAAAATAAAAAATATAAATGTTTTATTTCTTAACTACCTAATATATCACTGTGCCAAAACGTAAGCCGCAATTACAACGCAAACAAAATCTTGCAATGCTTATTGCACTACGTGCCGGAATGTGCACTACACTTTTGGTGGCACTGATTTTGATGGGAGCTCGACCTATCCCACTGTATTCCAGAGTTGTGTGTGGTCAGAACACACACATGTTTTAATGCCAACAAATGAGAATGTGATTTTGTTTTTTGTTCATTCATACTTTTATGTTCACCAAACTCTCTTCTCTGTTAATGAGAGCGCTAACATGTTCGAAACAATGCGGTAATTAGTCTGAAAACGTTCAATGCACATGTCGTATTTAAAGAATGTTTTAATTTGAGTCAACCGAGCCGAGATGAGATTTTCAGATCGTACGGTCGTTCATTCATTTATTTTATTTTTTCCAATACTTGTCATGTGGCTATGAGTTTGTTGTTGCTACTCACTCTTTTCGTAGCGAGATATAAATGTTTTTTTTTTTTTTTTTTTTTTTGTTATATAAATGTATACCGGCCGGCCGGCTTTCATACATAATTAGTTATTTAGTATAGATAAATGGCGTTTCTAACTGTGGTTAGTGATCTTGAAAATGTCTTGAGTTGAGGACAGCAGTCTATGATGGATTTCTATAAAAATAATCGTGATTATTCATTGAGATTAATATTGAGAAAACAGCTAATTGAATTTTGGACTCATTGGACAGCAGATAAAACGACTACTTGGTTTATTTTCAATTGTCATTTATTGAGTCATGACCAATTTTGAAATAAAACCAGTAAGGAAAAGCCAAAATCGGCCTATATTATACCCTATACCATTATGCATATTTAGTAGAGCTCCCGTAACAAAATAATTTATTTGAAGTATAACCTATCAACATTTGGCTTTAGAGCAGTTATAAATAGTTTTCGGAGGGAAAATATATGGGAGGCATATCCAATTTTGAATCGATTTTCACTAAATTTGACGAAGATATTTTTATCTTTTATACCAAATAACATTGCTATAGAATGCATTATATCACTTCGAGAAGGATTATATTAAAAAAATATATATAAGGAGCCGAATTCCAGCAAATGAAAACTTATGTCCCGAAATTCTCTGCATTTGGGCTGATTATTTGCACAATAAACCTGAAATCGGATATCACTTCGAATCGGATATATCAGAGCCGAATTTCACCAAATGAAAACTTATGTTCCGAAAATCTCTCCATTTGGGTTGATATAAGCCATTATTTGCACAATAAACCTGAAATCGGATTAAGGATTTATTTGAGGGCTATATTAAAATCTTAGCCGATCTCGATTAAATTTGGCAAATGTATTTCCGAGCTCTATAATATGTCTGGTACGAAATATCATTGTTGTGGATTGTATATTACAAATGTGAGCGATTTAAAACCCCAAATCGGATGAAACATATAAAGGGAGAGAAGCTAAAACTGAACCGATTTTCACCAGATGTGATGTACTTGCTTCTAGACTGGCTTCGGTTGGATGTGCCAAAATTCAGGTCATTTACGATGATATTGGTCATTTGGTGCACAATAACCCGAAATCGGTTAAAGTTATATAGGGTAGCTATATCTCAATTTGAACCGATTCTCACCAATTTCAATCGGGTTGGTCCTTGGGCCAAACAAATATTGTTAGGAAATTTCATCTCAATTGGATAATAAATGCGACCTGCATTTTGTTCACAAGAATACATGGACAGACGGACTGATCGACTTAGAAAGTAATTCTATAAAGATCCTCCAAAGTAATTATGGGTCTATCTCGCTTCCGGGAGCTTTACAGGAAATTTCCTCTTTTCTTGTAATTTTTTTTCTGTTACGAGACTGGTTTTCTTTCATTGCGAACTCTAAATACCAAATTTGAAACAATTCCTGTTACAAAAATCATCAAAATGACGAATATATGGAGGTACAATAATATGGGGTCTATACCAAACTTGGACTCATTTGTACAGTCCTCTGTTTTCTTCATACTGGGAATAACTTTAAATTTCTGATTTACAGAAAATTTGAAATTGCGACTAAAATACCTAGAAAAAAAACCCTTACATCTGTCGGTACGGCTATATACGCCCCATACCAGAACGTGGACTTATATAACTCTTTTTCAATACCAAAAGTCCTGTAGACCTAAATCTTATCCACCTACTTCATTTAGTTCGGAAGCTAGAGTGATTTCCACAGAATGACAGGCACCGCTAAATCTACACAGAATTTGATGATGATTCTGTATATATACATTGTAGGGTTTAAAATGTATTGTTCGAGGTTGTACAAACGAAACGAAATTTCACATACACGTTACCATTATTTACGATAATGAGAACTGATTTCTTTCCATTCATCCAATTATCTTTGACAAATGCCCACACACACACGCATGAGTTGTAATAAGCTCTAACGAGCTATACCTACACACATACTCAAACAATCAAGAGAAAATAGGCAAAATATCCAACGTATTGTCCTTTATTAAGACGTGTGGAAAAAGTGCATGGAAACACCCATATCGAAGGAAAATTGTGTAAAACATAAATATAGCTACACACACACACGCATTTTATTAGACCAACATGTAACCAACATACCAAACCTACCGCAGTATACAATTGTGTTTATTGTCTTCTTTTTCTTTTCAATCGCTAAGAAATCTATAGAAGACCACATTGACAGCAAAGATATAGAAAAAAAAAAAACGAGAATATTTATAAAAATCAATGAGATTGTGTCTGCCTTGATAAAATACCAAAACCGGCAAAAGACATTAGATATTTTGTTTCATTATAACAGCCGAGAGAAGAAGACGATGAAGAAGAAAAAAAAACTGTGAAATCTATTGGAAATAAATATTGATGACGAATAATTGCCAGTTGTCGTTCGACATGTAATTATTAACAAGTTAATCTGTTAGAAATGCAAGTGCGTGTGTGGCCTTGTAATGCCATTCATAGTTTAGCCGAAGATGTTGTCGCCAATGGCAGAAGAGAAAGGTTTGATTAAAAAATGCTGAAGAAAAGAAGAAGAGAAATGGAGCAACTCTTGTAGACATAGCTTAGAAGAGATCAATATTTGAAAAAGAAATGAATATTTAGGAAATTTCCAGATATTTTCTATGACATTGGAGGACGAAATACTTTGTTGATGGACAAAAATTACAATGTTTTGAGGAAATCGGCTAATTTGTTTTTTTTTAGCTAATTAATCGGTCAAAAATTGTGCGTTATGAGTTCTAAATATGTATGCGCTTCCGAATGTCTGGAAAAGCCATTCCGAAAGAGAGGGTTTTTCCTTTTTTTTTGTCATAGTTCCTTTTTATATTTTCTGGGAGAATCAGAGATCTTCGAAATCTTAAATAAATATATCCTAGAAAGTTGTCATAGTACCCCTTTATATTTTCTGGGAAAATCACAACGAGAACTTAACTTTTTTATATTTCCAGGACAACCAAACCCGAAAAATATACGATATAATTCACCGGAATTATTTCAAATTTCGTATTTGAAGTTCAGTATCGGTACAACAGTCTATGACAAAATTAAAAAAAAAATTAAAATTTAGACCGTTTTCATTCTTTTCATATCAAGATATTCGAAATTTAAAGAAAATTTTGGTAGCTTTACTCACATTTTATTTGATTAAAGGCTTTCTATTACTAGAAGCCTGATATTGCCCATCTTCAGACTCAGCCTAAGTTTTATAGAAAATTGATAATGCAAAAATGTGAATTAAGTTTGTATTGCGTCTATGATTTCATGGAAATTTTGGCCACTTGGGGCGATGGTGTAGGGTTAAAGGAGGGAGGTTCGTCCGATATTGTCCATCAATATCAAATTCGAGTTATGTTAGATCAAAGTTTTTTGAAGAGCAAATTTTGGACTAAATATGATATTTTACAGACAGATGGGTGATCGGTCGGACGTATGTGGATCGTTCGCCATTGGATGAAATGTTTGGCACACATTTCAAAAGAAAGAAATACCGGTATCTGAGAGGAGGCTATAAGAAGTAGTGGTTTTTCAGGAGTATGATTTTTGAGATCTCATAATATTTTTTTTAAATTAGACCTTGAAAGTTGTGTCTGATAATATCGAAAAGCAGGACCTAAAAATTAAATCAACCAATTGTTAAAAAAATGTAGAAAACACTTAAAAAACTGCAAAGTCCTTTCAAAATATTAGAAGCCTCAATGCGCTTCAACGTTGAATTGCGAGGTTTGTTCAAGGTAAAAATAAAAATTCTTGGAACCTTTTTTTTGCGAAAAACGCCTAAAACTTGGAGTTAATATTCTTTAATGATCCTACGACCCATTGGCGAGAAATCGACTAAAACTGGAAGCACACAGCTGCTCGACCCTTAGAGAGCAATTTTTATCACCAATATGGATTATTGTTTCCCATGATGTCCTAACTTTAGATTAGGTTAGAAAAGACATTTCAGTGACATTTCGGTCCATGGAAATTCTAAATGTGATACATAAGGAAAACTCGATGTTTAATCGTAAAAAAATTGCTTCGAAATCCACACGAGACTCCCAGTCGGTACAATGGAGCGTATGTTTATTACAACTACTCATACGACCCCGTACTACTCATACGATTTAAAATCCTCTTAACATCCCCCGTAATAATAGCCGTCTGCTAAAGTCTGCCCAACACCTTTGACCCTTGAGTTAGGGTGCACATTATTTACTCTGATTATCTATCAGAGACAACTGATAACACCTTCAACATAACTCCCATACAAATCGAAAACACTTGAGCCCACACAATACATTGACATTAAGATACTCACAATTATTAGGAGATTAATTAGTAGAGAAATGAGAAATAACTGTGGGAAGAAAATAATTTCAAAGATAAAAACAAAGTCAAAGATAAAGTCAACATAATCTTAGTTTATGGTACCCTACACGCGCATGTGGGGTAAGCAAGGGCATCACCTAATTTGTAGCCAATTGAATCTTAAATTTGAAAACAAGAATTTTAATTTTTATTTTTTCCAATTCCATTTAAAGACAACTTTTTGAGAGATTAATGAGGACTTCTACTATTTTTATGCAATTGTTTTCTCATTTTTTTTTTTTTAATTTTTTAAAAATCGTATTTTACAGATGATAAGTGCAGTTATCGCGCCAACTTATAAAATTTGACACCTAAATTTGAAAATGAAGTCCTACCAACTCAGCATCAAACTACCGCCCTTCTTTCACGCCCCTGCTGTCTTTAGCCTAAATGTGGTATTTTTGTAAACATCTAACATCTGGTATTTTTTTAAACTTTAAACTAAACCTTTC